TTCTTCTTATTAGTATTATTCTTCTTCTTATTCTTATTATTCTTCTTATTCTTCTTCTTCTTCTTCTTCTTCTTCTTCGTCTTCTTCTTCTTCTTAGTATTATTATTCTTCTTCTTATTATTATTATTATTATTCTTCTTCTTATTATTCTTCTTATTCTTCTTCTTATTCTTATTCTTCTTCTTCTTATTCTTATTATTATTCTTCGTCTTATTATTATTATTATTCGTCTTCTTCTTCTTATTATTCTTCTTCTTATTCTTATTATTATGCTTCTTCTTCTTATTATTATTCTTCTTCTTCTTATTCTTCTTCTTATTCGTCTTCTTCTTATTCTTATTATTATTATTCTTCTTCTTATTATTCTTCTTATTCTTCTTATTAGTCTTCTTCTTCTTCTTCTTCTTCTTATTATTCTTCTTTTTCTTCTTCTTCGTCTTCTTCTTCTTCTTATTCTTCTTCTTATTATTATTCTTCTTCTTCTTCTTCTTCTTCTTCGTCTTCTTTTTCTTCTTCTTCTTATTCTTCTTATTCGTCTTCTTATTATTCTTCTTCTTATTCTTCTTATTCTTCTTCTTCTTCTTCTTCTTCTTATTATTATTCTTCTTATTTTTCTTCTTCTTCTTCTTATTCTTCTTATTCTTCTTCTTTTTCTTCTTCTTCTTCTTCTTCTTCTTCTTCTTCTTCTTCTTCTTCTTCTTCTTCTTCTTCTTCTTCTTCTTCTTCTTCTTCTTTTTCTTCTTCTTCTTCTTATTCTTCTTCTTCTTTCTTCTTCTTCTTCTCTTCTTTTCTTCTTTTCTCTCCTCCTCCTCCTCCTCCTCCTCTCCTCCTCCTCCTCTCCTCCTCCCTCCTCCTCCTCCTCCTCCTCCTCTCTCCTCCTCCTCCTCATCCTCCTCCTCCTCTCCTCCTCCTCCTCCTTCCTCTCCTCCTTCCTCATCCTCCTCCTCCTCCTCCTCCTCCTCCTCCTCCTCCTCCTCTCTCCTCCTCCTCCTCCTCTCCTCCTCTCCTCCTCATCCTCCTCCTCTCCTCCTCCTCCTCCTCCTCCTCCGCCTCTCCTCCTCCTCCTCTCCTCCTCCTCATCCTCCTCCTCCTCCTCATCCTCCTCCTCCTCCTCCTCCTCCTCTCCTCCTTCACCCTCCTCCTCCTCCTCCTCCTCTCCTTCCCTCCTCTTCCTCCTCTCCTCCTCCTCCTCTCCTTCGCTCCTGTCCTCCTCTACTCCTCCTCCTTCCTCCTCCTCCTCTCCTCCTCCTCCTCCTCCTCCTCCTCCTCTCCTCCTCCTCCTCCTCCTCCTCCTCCTCCTCCTCCTCCTCCTCCTCTCCTCTCCTCCTCCTCCTCTCCTCTCTCCTCCTCCTCCTCATCTCCTCCTCTCCTCCTCCTCCTCCTCCTCTCCTCCTCCTCCTCCTCCTCCCCTCCTCCTCCTCTCCTCTCCTCCTCCTCCTCCTCCTCCCTCCTCCTCCTCCTCCTCCTTCCTCCTTCCTCCTCCTCCTCCTCCTCTCCCCCTCCCTCCCTCCCCCCCCTCCCCTGCCCTCCCTCCCTCCCTCCCTCCCCGCTCCCCTCCCCCTCCCCCCTCCCCCCCCCTCTCCTCCCTCCCTTACCTCATCCCTCCCTCCCTCCCTCCCCCCCCTCCCTCCTCCCTCCCCTCCTCCTCCTCCTCCCCCTCCCCCTCTCCTCCTCCCTCCTCCCTCCCCCCGCAAATCCGCCTGGCCCTCCAGCCCCGTGCCCTTCGGGAGGCGGTGCGGTCCTCCATCATTTGGCACGTGTCGCCCATGGTGTCGTTCACGCGGATGATGATATCGCCAGGGCCGACTCTCTGCGCCTGGCGGAAATCACCCCCCCCCTGTCTGAGAGCGAGACGCGCGTCAGCCGTCGCAGCGGAAAAGCGTCCCGCAACGATTGTTCCGATGCTGTGGAATTTGTACGCAAGCGAGCTCAAGTTTCCAAAGACAAGCAAATCGACGTTCCCGCGTGCAGATCGTACTCGTCTCCCTCTCTCTCTCTCTCTCTCTCTCTCTCTCTCTCTCTCTCTTGTGGCGGCAGGAGAGGGGACAGAATGTTTTCCCTTGAGCCACATGTGGCACGGACACGTACAAGATGGATCTCTGTCCATCGGTCCCCAGAGTGAAACACCAAAAGCTAAACCTACACGTGAGATTATGGACCCCTGGAACATGGGTCCAACTTTCTCTAGGTTTAGCTGTCCCAAAACTCAATTCACCGGTCCGTGGCCACTGCCTGGCAGTGTCAAAACGACCTGCAAATGTTAAACGTGCGCAGCAGCAGAAAGATAGAGAGAGAGAGAGAGAGGCAGAACTAGAGAGCAGACTATTGGAAAACAGATTCGGAGGATGATAAAGGCGGAGGGAGAGAGGAGGAGGACGGGAGGACACTACCACCAGCAACCAGGCCAGGAGGAGCCCTCTGGTCCAGGTAGTCGAGCCATGCTATCCAGGCGGGCTCTGACAGCATTCTTCTGGAGGCCGCCTGAGAGCGGTCTTTGCGCTCGGGCATGTCCTTCCGGCGGCCGACCTCTCGGGCCTCGCCCACCAGACTGAGCTTGCCGTTGGTCATCAAATCAAACAACGCGGCATTACACTTAGTCACGTCGTCCTTGGTCAAAGCGTCCACAGGCATACGGCCATGGGGTATCCACCGTATCTTACCTCTGGCTCGTTCCAAGGACTCGCAAATGATGGCGAGGTCTAGAGCAGTACGCCTATCACGGGCCGAAGCGTTGCCTTCCTTCTGGAAGGTATCATAGATTGACTTGGCGTCCACCACGTGGACCTGTTGTTCCTGGGAACCCAAGCTACAATCGCGTCTTAAGACCGTAGTGAAGGGCCCTGAGGCCCGCACACAATCAGGCAGATCAACGTCCCTGAACACAACATCACGGTACAACACTTGAAGAAACTCGACTTCCGCCACGGCGGCCGAGAGAGCTTGAGTCTCCCCGGCTAGCGTCGAAGGCACCTTACGCCGTAGCTTACTGCTACGCCAACCGAGCACGGACGCTCTTACCACCTGATTATCGAGAACAGACTTGTCGGCAGCCAACACCATCCAGGCTCCCTGGGTGGGGTCGGCTGGGAGGCCATTGTCATCCTGGAGAGACTCTACCGAACCAACACCGCCGGCATCGGAAAACGATATGAAAGACATACGCTCAGGGTCTAGCTGCCAGATCGTCAATCCTCGAGAGGCTGTTGCCCTCAGGTGCTTCACCAACTTGTTGGCACAAGACACGTCCGACACTGTCGGAGCCCGCAAACGACTGGCCAAAATACTTGCTACTCCGGCCGCTTCTGGCCGTGACTCTCGGCCGACCCAATTAAACTTGTAGACCAGAGAACGCAAAGCTTTGAACTCGGACGGCTCGAGAGGGGAATTCTTGACAGACAAGCGGCCCCGGGCCAGGGTCAGAAGACGGATTTCTTCCAGGATGTACTTTTCCTGGTCGACAACGGCCTTACCGGGAAAAAAGGAAACACGCCTACCCGCAAAATCCACTGAGCCGGCATGACAGTCTCGATACTTCCCGAAACGGAAGCGGTCCTCTAGGATACCGCGAATCCACGCTCGGGCATCCGCATCCGCACTCCCGATAAAGAAATCGTCGACTTCCAGCAACATCATGTTCTGGATGGCCCCATCTGCTCGATACTTCAGCCACCAGCAGGGCTCCAGCAAACTTCTTTCGAACCCATGCTTTTCCAGATGGCCAACCACGGTGCGACGCCACGCTACTGGAGCATCGTCCAGCCCGTAAACGCTCACCAGCAATAGGATAAGGGATCCAGGCTCAACGTCGATACCCTCGCAAGGTTCAACATATATTTGGCCCTGGGACCGCGTCATCGGATCTGACTGGGTGAAAGCGTTCTTGACATCCGCGATGTCTCCGAGCATCCTGAAATTGACCAGTACCTGAATGAACATCATAATAGACGAGGTCTGGGGGGTGGGCGCATATACGGCGAGGGAGCCAGAGTCGGGATCCTTATGACCGTGCACGCACCACCTGGACTTCGCTTCGGGTTCCACGAAAGCCCCCTCAACTGGCTTCCATCGGCGCACCATTCGGCTGGATATGATCCTGCCCGGACAACGTTGCCGGATCTTCGCCGCCTGATTCGGAGGGATGACTCGGACACCCCCGGATTGCAGCATGGCTTTCCATTCTTTGTTGTCTGAAGCCTGAAACTTCTGACGCTCCTGAGGGGTGAGCCTCTTGAGGGTCACTTCTCCCCCGCGGCTAGCCGCAAAGGTGCCCCCGTCCTGAATGCTGTCGCCCACGGCCCCGGCAAACCCTTCGACGTTCCCAGGGACGACGGAGAGCCCGTCAATCGGCCCCGGGACCACGAAAAACTCGCTGGTGGCCTCTGCCTCGACTGTTCCCTCGGCTCCTCTGTTGCGATTTGGCGACCGTGACCTGGCTCGGGCTTCGATGGCCTGAACACGCTCCTGGACAGACTGCTTCGGCTCGTCGCCGGCCCTGACAGGCCCCCGAGTCTCCGGCCCAGGTCCAGGGCCCCCAACACCGGAGGAGGAGGAGGCAATTCCACCGACGGGGTAAGGAGGGTAGGGGCCCGAGGAGGGTTCGGTCCTGGCTCTCTTTATCTCAGGAGGGGCGCTCCCGGCCCTCGCAGCTCAAATGCAAGCTGGGACGTCCTCAGGCTGGGTGAGGCGCCCCCTCGTCTTAGGTCTCGCCCCCTCTGGTGAAGACGGGGTGACAGGGGAAAGAGAACTGGGAGACGCAGGCAAAGGAGGAGGAGCAGGAGCAGGTAAGGAAACAGGACGAGGAGAGGACGGAGGAGGGAGGAGTTCTGGACTCTCTTGATCCCCTGGCTCGACCTCGGCGGATCCTGAGCTAACTCCTCGAGACAACTGCCGACTGAGAGACGGCGTTGCCGACTCTTCTCTGTCTGAAGGAGCCAGCTCGGAAATAGAGGGCAGCCCGGTCCTGTCCGAGCCTGGTTGAGCTACAACCGATCCGGCACGAGAGAGAGACCCCCTGGGGGGCCTCCGAGGAAGCCCAAGAGTCCCGCCCACTGACGGGGGAGAGGGTCGATTCTCCGGTCCTTGCTCCTCGGCTGGCACTGGCCCAGCTCCGGGGACCCTTGGTTCTGAGTCGAGCTCGGCCTGTGCCGCCTCGTCCCAGGCACTCTCGGGAGGGGGGCCCTCGCGCTGAACGTCCACAGCGGTCACCCGCCTCGCCTGAGCCGAACGAAGCAGCTCCTGCCATCTAGGGTCTTCGGCCAATTGAAGGCCGTACTCTTCCTCAGGGCTAGCAAGCCTGACTTGCTCGGCTGAACATTTCCAGAGACGGGCCCGGACCGCCACCCACACCGTGCCGCCCTCGGCAAGCACCACGACCCCGGGACCCGTCCAGCCGGCACGACGGCGCCCTAGGGCGTCGGCCCTGGACGATATTCTGGTGAAATGCCTCCAGACGAAGACCCACTGGCCGGGGGTAAATCTCTTGGTCCCAGGGGTCCTCGCCCGGGCTGCTCGGGACAGCTTGTCTCGGGCCGTGGCTTCCATGGCAAGCCTACGGGCCGCCGCTCGGATAGCGTGGGCCCTGGCAAACTCGGCTCCCGCCTCGTCCTGCTCTGAGGAGGGGCTCGCGACATCCTGCCACCCGGGCAAAGCCCGTCGATCGTCGGACAAGAGCTCATGCGGAAGGCGCGGGATTTCTCCAAAAACCAACTGGAGAGGTGAAAAGCCACCTCGATGCCAAAATCGGTTCTTATGCGCCACCAGCTCAAACACCAGATCATCCAGCTCCTGGAGTGATGAGGGAAAGGACGTCCCGGACTCTAGCTCAATACGGACTCGGTCCTTGACCCAGCCACCGTGTCTCTCCACTCGTCCGTTCTGCCAGGGACTGTCCGCGTCGCAGACATGATGACAAACTCCCCACTGTTCCAAGCCTCGGGCGAACCGAGCTCCAAACTCCGAGCCCCCATCCGAGATGATCAGATGTGGCGCGCCCAACGGTCGGACCCAGGACCTCAGAAACTCGGACCAGACAGCGGCCGACGTCGCGGCCTCGACCCGGGTGACGACCTGCAGGTTCGACCCGTGGTCGACGATGTTGAGATAGGGATACGTCGTACCTTGAAAGTCGAGGTAGAAGAGATCAACCCCCACGATGTGATTAAAACGAAAGGTCCTGGGCAGAGCAACCCGACGATGGGCCCCCGACTGCGATCGTTCCGCACATTCCGAACAAACAAAATGCTGACGCACCCATCTCACCAAGTGCTGTTTGGTGCCGCCAGCTCGAAGAACCCGAAGAAATTTTCGTTTGTCGGGATGGCCCATGTTGCAGTGCAACTTGTATATTAACCGTTTCTCGTCCTCATTGGGCTGAGGATCGGGCTTCCCAGACACATCTCCCCTCGTTCTGTTCTGAAAGGGTGGTCGGGTCTCGGGCTCGTCGTCGCTTTCGTCCGAACCTTCGGGCTCGCCTTCGCCGCCAATTGCTTCCCCGGCCTCCGCAGCCTCGCCGGGGACTCCTTCCGCCAACTCCGCCCAGGAAGACTGCCTGGCCCTGGGGGCTCCGGACCAATGTTCGGCGACAGCCCTGGCGACAGTGCGCACGAACAAAGGGGGGTAACATGCCGCTTTGGTAGTAACCGAGCCTCCCTCCAGAACAGCGTGCTTGTGTTCCCCCGTGCAGAGGTGACCGTCTAAGAGCCGCAACACCTCGGGGTGGTTGGACAAAATTCCCGTGGGTTTCTTATTAGGCCCCCTGTCGTCCACCCTCATTCCAAACTGGCACATGTCGAGCCGGATTCGTCGAACTCCCGGGAG